CCTTCTCCAAGAAGGTGTCATAACCAATACATAAGGGCTCTGGCAGCTCTGTGATTCTCCCCCACTCCCATCAGAACTCTGTAGTGAAAGCTAAATTGTGGGACGTATTTAATTAAAAGACAAATGGCAAAATAAGGTTGTGGTGGAAGCTTTCTAATTGTGGTTTGTTAGATTTTAATTACCCATCTTAAATTGTGAAAGTTAATCCAGGGCATATCTTTGCACATTCCTGTTCTTTTTAATCACAAAGAACATCTTCTCAGCTGCTGACAGGATGGGCCTCATCATCTGTGCCAGCAACTTGATCTTACCCGACAGTGACTCAGCAACTTGCCGAATTCAATTAGCAGCTTTGTAGCTACTTACTCAGAACAGCTCTAGTAAAGTCTGCCTTCAGACACTGCAAACAGCCGGAACTCCCAGCCCATGATCTGCTTGTAATCAGCAATTATCATAGCCAGGGTGGAACAGAACAGACGTTGAGTGCCATGGTGAGTTAGAAACATGCTTCCCCCGGGTCCCAGCTTTTCATCTGTCTTTACCTGTGATTGACGTGGAAGCATTTGGAGACTCACAGAATGGAGGAGTCAGATCTAGGCAAACACCTAGTCTACCTAAACGATGCTGGGTGCCTGCTCACGATTCCCCAGGAGGTTAGGAGGAGGCTAACATAACAGGAACCCAAACCTCCTGACACTCCCCATGCTCCTCCTTCCACGTGCTCCTCACATCTCTCACTTACAGCCACATCCTAGGAGGCAGGTAGTGGGGGGCCCTGGAGAGGTCCTTGCAGGCTCCACGCCAGCTAGCAGAGCAGGTGAAGTGGACAAGTCACCCTCTGGCTCTCAGTTTTCTTATTGCTACCATGGGAATAATACTATGTAAGAGAGTTTTAAGAAGTATGTAAGGTAGTTTAATGAAAGTACCCAAAACAAAGTAGGAACTCAGCACCTAAAAGTCCCTTCAATCTTGATTTGAGGGCATTGAGGCAGAAGGAGGGAAAGGAAGACAGAGAGACAGGGAGAAAGAGAGAACATGTGTTGTATGGAAACATTATGAATCAAAGTCACTTCCACAAACACTGAAAAAAGAAGGCCAGAGGGATCCTACTCTGAACATCAATTTATTCAGTTGATAACAAAGAGAAAGTGTGCCCTCTTTGGCATTTTTCTTGAGGGAGCAGAATATATGCCTACCCCTCTATACCAGATGTAGAGCTCTGCTTAGTATTTGCCAACTAGATATTAGATCCCTCTGCAGCTTTGCTCCTTGGACACTTGCCTATGTTTTGTGAGTTTCTGCTTTTGCCACAGGGATAGACCTGTATCTACCTAGAAGCTAAGGTGAATGAGGTTTAAAAAAAAATCCATTGTAAAAATGGATTAACTCTAGCCATCAGTAATCCAGATCTTTCTTTTGCCACCCACCATCTCCTCATGTTAACATGTACACAAGGTTTGTGGCTTTGTCCTATCTGTTGAAAAATGAACAGTAGATCTGTCTCCTCTCTGTTCTATTTTGATTTTTCCTTTGGCCAGAGGTAACTGCAGATAGCGATTTAAAAATCAAAACCAACCAAGATATATCTTCAATCAAGTATAATCAGCACAGTGTTGCACAGACTGACTCACCAGCCACTTCCCTATAGTTTTAATAAACTAGAGTGAACCAGGACATGGTCGTGCTAACGGGGGACCTGCTTAGCCATCAGCGGTGCACTTGAAGGTGCTCACAGACAAGGGAGAGTGGTAGGAGGGCATACAGTGCTATGCACCAGGACCCAGTAAGTTTTCAGTTAATATTAATGCTCTTGTTTCTTTTTGTTTCTTTTTAAGTAAACCTGGGGACACATATTTTTATTTAACAGGATAAAATCAGAGTTTAATACATGAACATAGGGAATTCACATGGACATGATAAATCCATGAAAATTCCCAAAGACAGTGAGGCAGTATTTGGTACATAAGACACTTGGGATGAAAGAAAAAATGAGGAGGGGGACGGGGTATTAGATTTCAGAAGTGAGGGTGGGCAATTTACATGTAGTTGAGGAAGAGCAGAACACCCATGACAGGAAAAGCCCCCAAGGTAACTTGGAAACTCCGGGACACAGAGGGTATCCAGCCAATAGGTGCCTGCCTGAAGCCCTCTTGTACTACTGTACTTAATTCAAATTAGGCTGAGGCAGCATCCTAAGTTCTCCTTCCTGAAGCAGGCTTTTCTCTCTTTGAACATTTTGGGTAGGAAGAGGGGAGGAATCAAAGGTTCTGAGTCCTTTGTTTCTTAATAAACAGCTTAAAATCAATATCCCAAAATGCAGCTTCAGGCTGACTTTACTTTTTAAGTAAATCTGGGGATATCTATTTTTCCTTTCTAGTAGTTTTCAAGGTCATCTATTTGTCTTAGGTATCCTGCAGTTTTATGACAATGTGTCTAGTGCAGACTTTTTTTTTCTTTTATCTCAATCAGAATTTATTACGTCTCCCCAAGTCTGAGGATTTCATTAATTCTGGAAATTTGTCTGCCATTATATTTTCAGTTATTGCTTCTCTTAGTTCTTCTATATTCTTCTTCTGGTACTCATACTATATCCTATGTTTCTTACCCTCTCTCATATTTTCCATTTCTGTATTTCTGTCTACTGTATTCTAAACAGATCTGTCCTTAGATCTGCCTTCCAGAGTAATAATTCTCCACTCAGCTATGTCTAATCTGTTGTGTAACCATTCCATTCATTTTCAAATTATACTGTATTTTTATTTCTATACTTTTTTTAGGTGGGTCTTTTGCAGACCTGTCCTTTTTTTATATTGTTATTTTACATGGTTCTTTTATGTCTTTAAGTATTTTAAACATGTTTACATGTTTAAATTAATATTTAATCATTTTAACACTTTTTAGATTATTCTTGCATCTGAAATTCTTGGTGTATTAATTCCTCTGTCTTTTATATCTAATACCTCTAGCATATAATGGATTCTTTCCTCATGTGTTCTGTGATTTTTGACCATAAGGTTATTCACTGGTGTCTTGAAGGGGGAGCTCCGTCTAGCAGAGACTCCCCAGGCTACTGCAGATGAAGAAATAAACTATACCAGACACAATTTGCCTGTCAGCAGAGGGGGTGGTGATTCCCTCCAGTGGAGAATGCCCCAAGCCCTTCTCTTGAAGTGGCTTTTGTTGAGAACAATAAGCGCAGGGATATACAGAGTTCATGCAAAGCTCATCAATCAATACTCAAAGGCTATATTTACATAGAACAGATAGAGATCATAGATAACAATTGAAAGAACACAGAGATTTGCCTCAGGTCAGGGTCTGGTAGACAGGGTGATACCTATTCAGCTCTAAAACCTGGGAAAATAAACTCATCCTATACTGGAACTCCAAACACCAGCACACATTAACTGGAGGGCACTCTTAGCAAAGTAGGTTTCATAGGACTTAATGCATTCCTTTTCCAGGCCTAATTGCCCTCAGGAACCACCGGATCCAGATCAGGGCTGTACCTGCCACTAGTATTGTCTCAAGCCTGAGCCAGGTGGTTAGAGCAGAGCAGCCAAGAAATAAGGAGACTTCTTTCAGATAGAATGAGGACTCTGGCCATGACTAAGTCGAGGGGTGAGGGTCTTTTGCCCCTTCTTCGTGTCCCCCAGGTCCTTCCCTGATGGTTCCTATGTGACCGTGCCTGTCTTAGGTTGCCCCTGCCATCGAGGGATCTTACCTGTCATTGACTAACCAGCCATCCTCCGGGGCCAAGCAAGGATGTGAGGGAGGCAGGGCTGCACCCCTGCCAGGGGGACAGGTTTTGTCTCCTTAGTGGCCTGTTTTCCCCAGGCCTCCTTGCTCAGCGCCTGCCTTGGGGTCCTCTCACTTGTTGGCAAGGCTACAGTCCCTGAAGCCAGGCAGGACATTTCCCAACAGTGTCTTTCCTGGAATGATCCCATGTGGCCAGCCTTCTCTCCAAGACTGTTCTGAATTTCTTCTGCCAGGTGTCCTAGGTATCCTAGGGCTAGCAATGATTTTCCAGGACCAATGATTTCTCATTTTAAGGGTCTGATGTACTGTACATTTGGATCCCAAATCCACTTGCAACACAGACCTGGGATTTTGATTCTCAGGGTAGACTCCTTTTCAATGTTCTTAGAATCAGGCAGAGATAAGATTCCTTTTCTTCTCTCTGTGACATGTGTATATATTATTATCTAGTATATATGTATCTACCGTTACATCAAGGATGCAGCCCTTTAGGATACCAGTTTTGTGCAGGAATCTCAGTTCCAACTTTTTGTTTCATGTGGACCAAAACCTTTATCTTCTGTTCTCATGTAAATGTTAAAATCTAAACACTAGTTTACAGCAACTGATGTTGCTTCTTACTGTAGGTAGCTGAAGCATTAGACATTCACCATTGCAATGTTTTCTTTATTTTTTGTACCTGAGGTTTCCCCTTGCTTTCATATTATCTACTCAACTATCTTCTTATTTTTTTTAAAGCCCATGTTCTTATATGTAATTCACATCTGGGTGTATGTAACAGCAGGATCTTCAGTTTATGTTATTCTGCCATCATTCTGGAACATACTTAGCTCACTACTCTCTTATTTTGAGCTAACTGTCATACATGGGACAGGTTGTAGAAGGGACAGAGACAGACATTCTCTTTGATCACCCCTTCCAGCAGTCTGTCCAAAGCACACACTATGCCCGACTCTGCAGCCCTTCCTTTACTCAGTAAAAAAAATTTAGCATGAAGTAAGGGGGTCTAAAGATGTTGGACCACACTGGTAGTTTCTTCAAGGCATGACAGTATATTACATTGTCCCTCAATCCAATGACTGAGGTATGTTGACACTTTGCCTTTACAATTAATTAATGGGCAGCCTTATTGAGTCTTGCCTAAGCATTTATAATGGACAGGATTTAACTTCAGAAAGTTGATTATTTTTCCAGTACACCAGAAATGTAAATTTGATATTTGTTTTTTTTTTTTTTTTCTTAAATGTACCTTGTTTTTAAAAGAGCAGTTCAGTTGAGAGCTGAAGAGCCCCAGTTATAACAAGTCCTTATGCTCTAGCACTGTTGCTTGGCCCGTGAAGCTACAAACAATGATATTTGTTTTTAAGTAGGAAAATACCAAAAAGAGAACACTTCTTTTCACTGAGTTTGAAAATGGACCAGTGCAATTCAATAATATTTGAAATGGTTTATTGAATCTGACTTTTATTTTATTGGCCCTTTCTTCCAAGTCGCTGGCAATGCTTTACTCACATGACTTCAGTTTTTTCCTTACAGGAACTAGTTAAGATAAAATAACATCACTTCCGTTTTATTGAGAACTAGAGAGATCAACAGATTTATCCAAGTAACAACGATAGCCAGACCACCAAAGGAGCGGTGTACTTGAGCCTGCCCATCCCACTGGCCCCAAATGAAATTGTTTTCTCATGAAAGTACATGTTAGGGCTATTCCATCAGGTTTCATCAAGGGAACAGCCTTATTAAATCCACTACTGCCTTGACATAGCAATATGGTTGAGTGATATGGTCACTATTATCAGACAGTATCTCCAGCGCAGGTTTGAAAGCAGAGCTTTGGAGGCAGTTGGACACCGAAGTTGGAATCCCATCTCTGTAACTTGCTACTTGAGTGACCTGGCAAGTCGCTTTTAACCTCTCTGAGCTATAGTTTTCTCACCTGCATAATACCAGACATCCCATTATGACAAGATTCCAGTAGGAATTAAATGAGATACGCATGCAGATTTAGTTTGGCACCTCAGTGACATCATACATGACCCATAATTCATAGCCATTATTAATCTAAAGTTCCCTGTATGAAGTCCCACATGAGAATTTTCTTTTAAAATATTATATTTGGCAGATATAAGCAGACATAACATTCTTATAAAATACTATATCTCCTTTGCTTAAGAACTATGGCCTTTTTCTCCTCTCAGACAATGCAAACCACAGAATTGATCGGGTTTTCTTTCTCCTTTGTTTGCAAGTTCTAAGTTAAGTTTCTAACTCCACTAGTCCAACTCACAACCTAAGATCTGTGTTCTGTGTTTTCCAGGTATAACTTTGTCTTCACCAACCTTTATATTTTTTTTTTCTTATTCTGGCTTTTTTTTGTTTTCTACTAATGCTGAGGATACAATGAGATACAGTCCAGTGCCTAGCATTTAATACACAATTCTTCCCTTAAAAGTACTTTTTCTTCCTTCTTACACCTTTGCTTTATTCATACTTCCTATGTTATCTACTAAGTAATATTTACTAATGAATTTTTTTTTCTTTTTTGTGCTAAAGCCATAGTGATATTTCTAAAAACACCCTGTAATTCAATTGGTAAATAATAATTGTTTACTGTGATATCCTTGTTTAAAAGCAATTAAAAGTGATTGCAGTGGACTTTAATAAGCTGATCAGAGTGTACCTAGGACAACAGGATGAGCAGGTTAGTGAAAAGGAAGCACATGAAGTCCCAGCCAGGCCATAGCCTACCTGTGGCCTTCTCTAAGTCACTTTATTTTTCTGTGCCTATGCCCTACTCTGCCAGAGGAGGTGACAATGTCTGCCTCTCAGGATTGCCACGTGAAGTGTAACAAGTGAGATCATGTGGGTACAGTGCTCTGGAAGCTGCATAACTTAAAACTGTTAATTTTCCTTATTGTCGCTACTGTTTTTATAAACATAGTATCTTCAAATATATACAAAGACTATGTGATGGCAAAGCCCAGAGCTTTCTTTAATTTTATCAATATTTAGACTTTGAAAGTTGTTTTCATATATGAGTTGCACAAGGTTCTGGGACAAGTTTCTGTCAATGCGGTTTCCTCATGTTAGCTCAAGCATGGACCAGAAAATCCTTAGGGCCCCTCATTTTGGACCCATAAAACATGTTGCTTGTATGGTGAATACTTAATCAAGATATCACTGCAGTATTCCAGCCTGGAATGTTATAGATACGGGAAACTCATCCTGCCAGCCAAGTCCCTCATTCTCTCTCTTTCTCTTTGTCAAGAGATAGTGCTGTTAATTAGACCCAGTGAGTTCCTCCTCAAAAGCATTTGCAAAATAATGATATCATTGGTAATATAAAATTTGTCTCTAATAATATGTAATTCCTTCATAATTAACTAGACACTGAGTCATTCTTTAACTAGTCTATTCTATCCCTTACTCACTAGAGAAATAACAGCTATATGACATAACCCAGTCATGGGTAATTCTACTCATGAGTAATGAGGTTGAGGACAGATATAGCAGACTCCTTGGCTTGGTGGTTTTAGTACCAGAATTTGCACCTTCATATTTCTATAGCCCTCTATTATTTTGATAGGAATGAGATTTGAGGTTAACTGAGGGGTAGCTTCTAGGTGCAGTGAAGCTTCCTAGACTCAGTTGTTTTAGATGATTGCCTAATGATGGATTTCCGGTTGAGGTTTCTTAGAACCAGGTATATAAGGCCCTCCTCTGTGAGCCCACCCCACCCCACAGCCGCCTGCCCACCATCTCTGTGTGCTGTTCTCTAGACACCCACGGCAGCCACTCTGAACTACTGACCTCACCTTCAGCCTCACGAGTCTGTCTGGGCCTTTGAAGAAGTGACCTTCCCCTTTTAGCACTTATCCAAGCGCCAAATTTATGTCTTATACTCCCAGCCCCCATTCAGTTGGCACATCTGGGAGACTGTCTTGGTCTCTCCTGTACCCACCATGACAAGAGCTGATTTCCTGATGTAATCGTACACAACCCTCTCCAGCCAATCACACATCCCTTGGACAGCCCTTCACTGGACCATTTCTAGAACATACACTCAGCAACTCTTTGTTGAAATGGGAGAGAAAAAACCTACACTGAATGCCCCCACCCCCACCAGCACCACTTACGGCACTTTGCCAGCTCGAATGTACCACATGCCCTTCACCTGCCAAAACCCTCTCACACTTTAAGATCTAGAACTACACTCATCTCCCTTACCAGTCTTTTTTGACTGATAAGTTATTTACAGTTTTTATAATCTGTTTAATATTTAGCATTAGTAGCTTTGTCCTGTTAGCTATCTTTTCATGTATCTATGCCTTAACCCCCAAATAGGTGACAATCTCCCCTAATCCTTCTTTGTGTTATTTTGGGATACTGCTTCCCCCTCACGCTGCCGCTGTGTTGTGCACAGAGCAGCCGCTTCATGAATATTTATGTATCGATCAAGCAAATCATATCCCTGTTTTGCATCCCCCACAAAGTCTACCTCAGCACAGAATAAATAATTGCTGATCAATTGACTGAGTTGGAAAATGTAACACTTCACCTACCACAAATCTTCTGTTGTAACCTGACTCATCCACCAAAGTGTCGGCGTGCTGTGGGGCAGCACAGAGTTAAAGTCAGCTCTGTTGACTTTGGCTTGGCTCACTAAGCCAGGGAAAAAAATAAAATTTCTTCCAAATTTTTTTACACAACCAGAAAGCACAGAGCTTCAAAAATCTGTGCAAAATGAGACATGATACTTCAAAGTTTTTAGAAAGGTAAGAGAGTGGCTGGGAAAATAATAGAATAGTTGAAAAGAATGTTTCAAATTTAGTCAAACCCTGTTATAGTGTTATGAGCAAGGGAGTCTTAAAGAATGACTTGCATGAACTGCAGACCAGCTTAGTTGCTGAGTTAATGAATGAAGGAGATGCGCCATCTGGGGAGGACGGAAACCAACCACTCCCCATGCTCGCAGCCATCCTGCCACACGCATGTCAGTGACCTGGTGGGGCTTCACTCTTGCTGTTTTTGTTGGTCTGTTTTTATAAATGGGAGTTCCCAACTTTCAACTGTAGTTGTAGTCAATTAGGTTATTTGGGTCACCTGTCCTCAAATTTTTCTTTATTGTTAATACATAACAAAATTTACCGTCGTAGCCATTTTTAAGTGTGCAGTGCAGTGGCATTATGTACCCTCACTTTGCTGTGTAGCCTCCCCACCAGCCCTCTCCAGGCCTTTCTCACCGTCCCAAACTGAGACTCTGTGCCCGTTAAACCCTCACTCCCCGTCCCCTCCTCCACCCCTGGCAACAAGCCTTCTGCCTTCTGTCCCTATGCATTTGACTGCTCTAGGAACCTCATATAAGTGGAATTATGTAATGTTTGACCTTTGTGTCTGGCCTATTTCATTTAATAATGTCTTCAAGTTTTCTCCATGTTGTAGTATTATATCGGTAATCCATTTTTACAGATGAGGAAGTTGAAGTTCAGATCATTTGGTGAAGGTCATTCAAGTCTTTCTGTGTGGCCCAACGTAGAGACTCTGTAACCTTCAGGTCCGTAAATAATAGTACCAGTTGTTAACTATAAGCCTGAACTATGCTAAACACTTTTTTTGATCCATTCCCTTCAGAAATCCTGTGAGTTTATTATCTGTGTCTTAGAATGAGAACAGGGATCAAAGAATAAGAACTGGCCCAGTACCCTGTGGCTGGGAAGGGGCGGCACCAGGTGAGGCTATATCCCCGTGCCTCTCCATAAGAGAGACTATTAGAAGGTTTCCCCAGAGCCGTTACTTTCATATACATGTGCACGCAGAGACCAGAAACATTGGCCCCGGCCTCCAGGAGGCAAGAGCATGACCTCTTTTCTCCTGAGGTTCTTGGCGTCAGAGCCTAACTCAGAAGTACCAGGAAAAGCTACTGGGATTGATGGGAAAAGAACCCGGGATGTTTTGAAACTTCCCTGAGGACTTGGCAAGAGTTTGATAGAAAATGTGTGTCTCTAAGGGGCTCTGGAGTTGCCAGTGTTCTGGTGACTGGAAGCTGGGCTGGGGTGCGGGGAGCAGGTTTGAAAGCAAGATTGTTGAGCTGCACCCAGCGAGTGTCTCTCTCCCCAGCTCTGGCTCTCCCTCCATCAAGGCCTGGACTGGAGTTTTCTTTCCCAAGGTGGTAACCATCAGGGAGCCATTTGGTCTGGTTTCTTGTGACTGACTCCAGGGAACAGAAATCCCTCTGGGAAGAAATCGCAGCCGCAGCAGCCGTAGTAAGCGGCAACTGGGATGTTCATGGCTGTGAAGTCGGGGGAGGGGGAGGTGCACCCAGAATGGCCCACCAGGGAGCCTCAGGCCTGAGACAGACCATTCTGAGAATGAGAAAG